AGTAGTATCAGTAGTAGCAGCAACAGTTGTAACAGTCATCATGCAGTCATGTTGAGTGAATACAGCCATATATACCGATGTATTTCCATGCATGCTTCTTTCCTTCTTACATCTCTTAGCAGGAGCCACAGACTGTAGAAATTACTTCTTTTCTCCATTCTCTGTCCTTTACTGTCTCCCAAAGATGTTCTGCATCAGGTTCTTCTATTTCTCCCAATACTTCCCAGGGAGAAATCTGTCCATACATTGACACATACCTCTTAACATGTGAGCATTCAAGTATATACAAGATGCACCAGGTCTGTAATATGTCATTCATATGGATGATTTTTGCATCCAAGCTAAAATGGACATACTCTGGCTGCCTTTATTCACAATTTCTTCTTCTTTTTCTTCATCATCATCTTCTTTCATTTCTTTCTGTACATACATGTATTTTTGCTCTTTGGGATGATATGGTGGGCCTTTTACAGTTTCTGTGAATGCTGCTTCTCATATTTGCCTCTTAGTGCAGGTGGCAGAACATGCACAATAACCATGAGGCATTTTTAGCTACATTTTTCCTGTCTTGAAGGAGTCTCTCACGTTTCTGCCACATGGGAAAGACAGGACTAGAGGCAGACATCCTAATGGAGCCACAGGTCATGCCCCACGTAGAAAGAAGAGGTGATATTAGAGGCAGATTATTTCTGTGCCTCTGCAGGTTCCAGAGGCACAGAACCTCTGCAAGGGGGAGAGAAACTTTGCTGTCTGCAGACCTAGAAGGAGGGTAGTTTCCCACTCCTAAAAAGGCTGCGCTGTCGTCAGTCTATGGAACGTGGACATACAGGGCTTCCCTGAACTAACTCGTGTTTAAGCCAGCACACAGGCTGCAGAAAAACAACCAGTGTTGACTTCAAAAAAGTGCCAGTGATGGAAAAGTTATGGAATTGTCTCGAATACAAATTTAGCACATTATGAATTATTCTGTTTTTTGAAAGAATAGCACAGTAATCACAGCCAAAGAATAAGATTTATGAGCTCTTTATTTTGCACTGCTAAAGCCCATGTATATAGTTTTGTAAATTATTCTTGTCTCACTATAACCGTCAGATACTCCTGTGAATACAAGAAGCCCTTTTATATTGATTTCCTGTTCTCCTTCATTGCTTAAACAGGCATAAAATAATGTATGTCTGTGATTGTTCTTATTGGCCTCTAAGTGCATTTTTGTTTGTTAACTTAAAGAATCAATAAAGCTTAAGAACCAAATTCATCTTTGAAGTAAATTAACTAAACCCTCTGAAGTTCAACAAGCAATAAATTGGTGTTAAATATTTAGTATGGTACACTCTTGAAATAGTTCTCTTGATACAGACACAGATTAAAAAAATAGCAATTCGGTACAGCATGACTCCAGAAGTCAGATAGTATTTAATAAAAAAAAATCTTCTATTTGAGATGAATCAGACTTTATATTCATCTGCCTGCTTCTGCTAGAGCTTAAAAATGTTATGTACAGCAATAATCAGAAATTATTTAAAGATGAAACTCTGAAGAAAATAATTCCCTATGCAGTTAACAATTGCTGTGTATCATGCACTAAGTATCAGAGATATTTGAGACAAATAAAAAAACCCCCTGGAAGTACACCTTCCTCTCCTCCTAAAAATCCTTCTTTCACCTTCTGTTTACTGTGATGAAAGAATAAAAAAAATGTGAGAAGGATGACATTTAAGAAGAAACATTATTTTAATAGTCATCTTAGAAAATGTAGCTTTTAAGTGCTTACTCTAGAGAAGCCAAAAATAAAGTAGATCACATTAGCTCTACAGGTTATGATGCTCTTCAGAGCATGTTGTCATGATTTCTATTACATTATACCAGCCATTTTAACAAGGAGTCTACCTTTCCAACTCTCCTGATTACCTCCTGCTTACTTCTTTCATTCCACTTTAAAATTGGATCACAGCAAGAGCATAAAGAAAAGAGATTATTTCTCCTTTTTTTGCAGGAAAAGTGAGACCAATTGGCAAGTTTTAACTTAGAATGCTGCATGAAACTGTACCTCAGAAAGCTGAACGTACCATCAGGATGTCTCCTCTACTAAAGTTAGAAGCTGATAAACTTTGCTGCCTGGAGCAGCTAAGAGTGCCAAATGCCCCACATTGCATTCCCTTCACAGAACAGGTGGATAGTCTCTTTTTTCTGTTAGCTGCACGAAATGCCAGATCCATTCCTTGGCCCTGTGTGTCCTCCTTGTCCCTGCTTGTGTTGATCAAGGTCAATGCATAAGCCCTTGACTGTCCTTCCTCTATGTGCGGTCTTGTGCAACTTCTCCTGTCCCCTCCATGCTCGCAGGTTAGCAGCTGACAAAACCCCCTGATGTAGAGAATGTGATTGTAGTCTGCTTGTATCTCTCTGTGGCAAAGACCATTTAGTTACTACTCTAATGAAACCAGGAAGACTGTCGTCTTGTTCTTCGTCATACTAAAAGAGTCTTATCTTGTCTCATCTCTAATTGTGAACTATTTCAGAGCTTTCCTGGGATCAGAAGCAAATGTAATGTTTCACTAAATGAGATCCAAGACCTGCCAACTCACAATTGGTCTTTACAATTGTGTCATTCTGATTATCGTCTTTTGTTTCTCTATATCACTTTAGGTATTTAAAAGATCTTGTTAAAGAACACCTTGTAACTCAAAAATTGCAGGAAACCAATGAAAGGTCCTCATGAAGACTTACAGAGACACAATGCGACATTTCTGAGAGACTGCATGTCACAGGATTAGAAACTTCTGTTTCTACTCTGTTTTTATAGACTAGCAGGCATTGCAAAAGACAGAAGAGAATCTTATAGTAATTGTTCTTTTAATTTGATTTTAAGTTCTAGAGTTCCTAAAGATTTTGACTGGTGATACGATTCATGATTTCTTAGTATAACTGTTCAATTTTGTTATTGATCCCTAAGGGGATACACCAAGCCTCTGACCACAAAAATCAGTGCAGCAGACGACAAACGTTAAGGTAGTGATAATGACCATAATCTAGTTTTTAGAGAGAATTTCACAAAATAGCTAAGAAAATCCAGGCCCATGTCTGATTCTGAAAGCATCATGCAAACATCAAAACAGAAACTTTTCTAATGTTATGTATGCAATATGAGAAAAGTTAAATATTTGAAAGTTTTCTTACTATAAGAAGGTCTTAGTAAGCCCACTTCCTTCCTATGTGTACTTCAAGAGTCTCTCAACCTTGCAGGTGGTTTCTATTAAATACTAATGGTGGTATCATTACCATTTTCCAATTAAACAGTCCAAAGAAAAACATCATCCTTTGAATGCCTTTTAAAAATCTCAATAAAATTACTCTATGTAACTGGGCAAGAGGTTGTTTATTCCTTTTGATGTTATCCTCCAGGCAGTAGATGAAAACAATGTATGTTGAAATAGTGCTAGCTTACTGCAGTTGTCCAGTCACTGTATCAATGCAGGAAATTTCTGAATTACTTTTTGTGCTTAGGGAGGGAGGAAATTCTGTAGACTAACCTATTTTATACTATTCCCATTAAAATTAAAAAAACAACAGTTCACAGATTAACAGATCTAATAAAAACTTGCAGGCATACATCTTTTGTACATTATTATGAAAAAGCTTGTTTTTATTCTAAAAAGAGAGAAGAGGAAAAGTAGATTGAAAATTAGCTATAAAATTCAGTAATTGCCCATTGATATAAAATTCTATCACTTTGGATCATGTAATTTTTATTATCATGACAGATGTTTTATTATTTTTTATTTGGGTAACTGTAAATTAAAACAGTGCTTCCAAATTCATTAAAAAACAGCTCTCTGCTAAGAAGCTGACAATGTAATTTGGATAGGTGGTAAAGAACCAGCACACGGTTAAAGAAAAATTATAAAATGGAAACCAGTAGCGGAAAATTCCTTACAAGAAATGTTTTTGAAGGA